GAAAACAGCGCATGTGTGAAGAAGTGGCTTATACACTGTAGGCAGATGATTACATCGACTCAAGGCTGAGGGACTGATTACCTCATACTCCTGTTCTTCAAGATTCTCCTTTGTATGGACTGATGAAGCCACTGTGTGGCAAAACGTCTCCTCGTTAAAGATACCCAAGTGTTGAACTTTTTTTTTTTTTTCAACAAGTCGGCCGTTTCCCACCGAGGCAGGGTGACCCAAAAAAAAAGAAAGAAAATCCCCAAAAAGAAAATACTTTCATCATATTCAACACTTTCACCCTCCAACTCGCTCGTTATCTCACTGTTTTTTGGCAGAGGGCTCAGAATCAACAGTCCTGAAGCTTACACCATATAAAGACACACAACATATCCCTCCAAACTGCCAATATCCCAAACCCCTCCTTTAAAGTGCAGGCATTGTACTTCCCATTTCCAGGATCAAGTGCCCAGACTATATGAAAAATAACCGGGTTTCCCTGAAAATCCCTTCACTAAATATTACTGCTCACACTCCAACAGATCGTCAGGTTCCAGTACCCATTCGCTCCATTCACGCCTATCTAACATGCTCACGCACGCTTGCTGGAAGTCAAGCCCCTTGCCCACATAAACCTCCTTTACCCCCTTCTCTCCAACCCTTTCGAGGACGACCCTACCCGCCTTCCTTCCCCTATTAAGATTTATATAATTTCCATGTCATTCTACTTTGAATCCATTCTCTCTGAAATGCCAAACCACCTCAACAACCCCTCTTCTGCCCTCTGACTAATACTTTTATTAACTCCACACTTCTCCTAATTTTCCAACACTCGAAGTGTTGCACATGTGGGCTTATTTATCAACCTGTCGGTTCTCTGAACATTCATCTAACAAGGCCAACATTGTCAAGTTACCCACTTGGATCCATTCGAGGACAGAGAAGAAAGCTTTTATCCACAAGATGGGCAGAAAAGCAGCAACTTCATCTGGCTCACCCTTATCCAGAACATATCTTCATATGAGATCATTTAATCCCCAGGATGGTTCTCGCGTTTGGAACACATTAGTACAGTATTATGATGTTCACAAGATAAAGTCAGTTGATCAAATGAAAATGCTGGCCCACAGATGGCTCCAACCCTCATCCTGTTCCCTACTTGTATGTTTCATAACAATAAAAATGCTTTCAAATGAGCTGATGTATGTAACAGCTCTTAGCTTGTCAATAAAGTTAGAAATCCTTAGCTTGTAAATAGCTTTTCAATAAAGCTAGGGATCCTTAACCTAACCTTGTCAAATCCTGTTAAAAAAATAAGGAGATAGAGAGAGAGAGAGAGATACAGTGAGAGAAAAGAAAAAGAGAAAGGAAAAGAGGGGAAGGGAACTATCATATCTGGTGAAGATTCTCGAATTTCAATTCTTCCCATACATGAATATGGGATCTCTGCAAATTAGGATTTACTAGATACTGTTGTACAGTACTTGGTATACTAAAAATTTATTATGAATAAAGTGCTACAAAAATTATTTGAAATTCTGTTGAGAATGAATTTACAGTATTTTTATACAGTATATTGTGTCTTATGTTTTTTTAATGAAAGCAGGTGTTAAGACATGAAGTGGAAAAGCAGTTGAAGAAAAGTGTACAAGGCTATAAAGGTGAACTGATATGATGTGAGAAGACAAAGGAGAATCAAGCATACAATGTAGCAATGAATAGGATGGAGAAGCTGCTACCAAGAGGAATTTGCCTCCACAACCCATGAAAGTGGGGAACAAGTTAATTAATGGAAAACATGTTCAATGAAACAAACTTTCACCATCAAGCATCAAATCATTCTTTACTAGGGCTGAACTTTGTGCCAAAAGATGAAAATATATAACTTCCTCAGTACTATACAACACTTACACTTTTTGTTCTATGACTTCCCTGATGAACTGATAATCTCCAATATCTCCACTACAAGCTAAAGCTGCTTTATCAGTCACTTTGAAGAGTCGCTTAACATCCCGGAACCTTGCCAGTGATCCATATGAGCCAAGGGAATCAGCAGCAAGCATCACTCCTCCATTGGATCAAGACCACTACTGATGACCTTGATGTTGAAGGGTACCTGAAAAGAAGCAATAATTTTAAATGCAACTCTCAGCAATCACTTTTTCATTCTTGAATGAATTATATACAGCAAATTATATATGCAGCAAATTTAAACAGATTTATTAACAATGACAGATCAGGATTTTTGTATTAAAATGTCATTGGATTCAAATGTTAAGAATAATTTATAACTAATTTTTTTATAAAAACAATATGGTTAGTTGAAATGTGCCAATGTATATTATAATTATTATTATAATCATAACTAAGTACTAAACCTATAAGGGTCAAAAAGCACTGATAAGTATTACCAGTATCAGTAAATTTTGATAGTATTGGCTAATTTTATCAGTATTTACTTAAAATGAGAATCAGTATCAGCAAAAGGTTTGGTATCTTCCCATCTGTAATGGGTCTGCTGTAGTCTGCCTGCTCTCCCAGCTCTGGCCTACCTGCCCTTCCCTGGCCTGGCCTACCCGCCCTTCCCTGGCCTGGCCTACCTGCCCTTCTCTGACCTGGCCTACCTGCCCTTCCCTGGCCTGGCCTACCCGCCCTTCCCTGGCCTGGCCTACCCGCCCTTCCCTGGCCTGGCCTACCTGCCCTTCCCTGGCCTGGCCTACCCACCCTTCCCTGGCCTGGCCTACCCACCCTTCCCTGGCCTGGGCTACCCACCCTTCCCTGGCCTGGCCTACCCGCTCTTCCTGGCTGGCCCTACCCTGCCCTTCCCTGGTCTGGCCCCGTCCTGGCCTGGCCAACTGCCCTTCCCGACCTGGCCTACTGCCTTCCTGGCCCTTGGCTACCAGTCCTTCCCTGGCCTACCTGCTCTTCCCTGGTCTGGCCTACCTGCCCTTCCCTGGTCTGGCCTACCTGCCCTTCCCTGGTCTGGCCTACCTGCCCTTCCCTGGTCTAGCCTACTTGCCCTTCCCTGGCATGGCCTGCCTGCCCTTCCCTGGCCTACCCTACCTGCCTTACCCTGGCCTGGCCTGTCCTACCTGCCCTTCCCTGGTATGGCCCACCCACCCTTCCCTGGCCTAGTCTACCTGCCCTTCCCTGACCTGACCTACCTGCCCTTCTCTGGCCTGACCTACCTGCCCTTCCCTGGCCTACCTGCCCTTCCCTGGCCTGGCCTACCTGCCCTTCCCTGGCCTGACCTACCTGCCCTTCTGTGGCCTGACCTACCTGCCCTTCCCTGGCCTGACCTACCTGCCCTTTCCTGGCCTACCTGCCCTTCCACAGCCTACCTGCCCTTCCCTGGCCTACATGCCCTTCCCTGGCCTGGCTTATCTGTCCTTCCCTGGCCAGGCCTACCTGTCCTTCCCTGGCCTGGCCTACTTGCCCTTCCCTGGCCTACCAGCCCTTCCATGGCCTACCTGCCCTTCCATGGCCTTCCTGCCCTTCCCTGGCCTACCTTCCCTTCCCTGGCCTACCTGCTCTTCCTTGGCTTGGCCTACCTGCCCTTTCCTAGTCTGGCTTACCTGCCCTTCCCTGGCCTGGCCTACCTGCCCTTCTCTGGCCTGGCCTACCTGCCCTTCTCTGGCCTGGCCTACCTGCCCTTCAATAGCCTGGCCTACCTGCCCTTCTATGGATTGGCCTACTTGCCCTTCTATGGCCTACCTGCCCTTCCCTGGCCTACCTGCCCTTCCCTGGCCTGGCCTACCTGTCTTTCCCTGGCCTGGCACACCTGCCCTTCCCTGGCTTGGCCTACCTGCCCTTCCCTGGCCTACCTGCCCTTCCCTGGCCTGGCCTATCTGCCCTTCTATGGCCTGGCCTACTTGCCCTTCTATGGCCTACCTGCCCTTCCCTGGCCTGGCCTACTTGCCCTTCCTTGGCCTACTTGCCCTTCCTTGGCCTACCTGCCCTTCCTTGGCCTACCTGCCCTTCCCTGGCCTGACCTACCTGCCCTTCTATGGCCTGGCCTACTTGCCCTTCTATTGCCTACCTGCCCTTCCTTGGCCTGGCCTACCTGCCCTTCTCTGGCCTGGCCTACCTGCCCTTCCCTGGCCTGGCCTACCTGTCCTTCCCTGGCCTGGCACACCTGCCCTTCCCTGGCTTGGCCTACCTGCCCTTCCCTGGCCTACCTGCCCTTCCCTGGCCTGGCCTATCTGCCCTTCTATGGCCTGGCCTACTTGCCCTTCTATGGCCTACCTGCCCTTCCCTGGCCTACCTGCCCTTCCCTGGCCTGGCCTATCTGCCCTTTTATGGCCTGGCCTACTTGCCCTTCTATGGCCTACCTGCCCTTCCCTGGCCTGGCCTACTTGCCCTTCCTTGGCCTACCTGCCCTTCCTTGGCCTACCCCTTTCCCCCCT